CAATGTTCCTAAATTTAAATCGGGTAAATCCAATGGGCATTTACTGTCTAGCATTAGCGTATTACAAATATTTTACGCTTCGCGGAACAGACATGTTTCCATCGTTAATTACCTGACTTGTAAACAATATTACTAATGTAGTAAAATTTGTTAACTTAATCATATTTACGACAATCAAACCAAATATCTGCAACTTCTAAGTATTCTGAATGGTTTCACTTTTCTTACTTTTATCGGATCGAGATCGATTAAACAAATGAACATACAAGCTTTACTCCGAGGCGTAGTAACATTATCTAATATTGTGACTTGTTTGCATATAAATGGTGTGAATAAAATAATATTCATATTATTTATACGCACCCACAACCATCGCCTGCGAGTTTGTTGAAAAAGAAACGAGTTTGTCGGCAACTGATAATTACGTACTCGTCTTTATAATTTAAACTCTTATAATAATCTTGTTTTATCATTCATAACATAGTTGTATGAATTTTAATTTATCGCTAAATGTTTTTCATCGCTCGTATTTAAGTATTTAGCATAATTCAAATTTTAAACTTGAAAATTATGAAGTGTAGAAACCGTCTACCATATTTAGGCGTCTCTCTTGTATTATTAAAATTATGTCGAAAAAATAAAAATAAGTTACCAAATCTTACTTTAATACTTTTATGCTATACTCGTAATATAGTTTTTTATTTGGATTAAATAAGCCTTTTGTCTTCGGTTGGTTGTAATACAGATTCGCGAACGGTAACCGAGCTAATCTAATAGACGTGGTCGCGTCTTACACCGCTTATGCAGTCGCTATCGCATTGCGACCGGTTTAGGCCCCGTGCGTCGTGCACCGAGGCTGTAACGAGTGAAGTCGGTCGGGCGTCGATTGGGAATCCGAAGTACTCGGGCGCACGCTTTTTGCGGATGTCGCCAAAAGACGGTCGAGCCAGAGGTGTCCAACCGGTTTGGTTACCGACCGATCATAAGCGTCCGCAAATTCAACAGCCGTCAAACGCACGGCCGCCGCTTGCAGTGCAATGCAATGTCGAATTAATTCATCGCATCTTTTAATGAAACGTATTTTGAAGTCAACTGTTGAAAATTATATGTACCTATTGTAATTTAAGTTACTAACTGTGCATAGAGAATATAATTTAATATTAAACAATCGCTTTAACAAAATATCAACTGTCACTAGAAGAAAAATCTGTCACCAATTAGTGCTACCTAAATATCGATCGATAGTCTGCAATTAAGATTAGAAGATAAGAATTGACTTGTATCGTAATCTCGATTTATGCTTTCGATCAGATTATCGTAGACTAGTTAATTTCATTGTGCAGTGCAATCTCTCTTACTTAATTGATAAAAAATCAAAACATTAAAAATTACACAACAATACGAATATGTCCATTATTATAGTACCTCCGATATTTATTAACTATGACTTTAATAAAGTGATATCTTAAAAAGTTATTTTGGTAAGGATTTTTATCGAACAATGTCATTTACATACTAGGCGTTAATTATGTTATGCTGCGTGATTCTACATCACTCAGCACAATGTATAATAAATTATTTTATAAAATGTGTATACCTACTAGGATAAAAATCCGTTGGGCATAGCAATAAATTATTCAAATACGTTACGTCAAGTGTGGGCGGCGTGTGAGCCGTTAAAGTTGTTATTAAATCCAAAATACGTCCTTGAAAAGATCGTCGACATCAAATTTCATTAGTGAGATCAGATGGCACTGGTTTCTGATTAACATTTTTTTTCTTCTAGAGACATTTTGATAACCGGATTTTTTAAAAACATTAAAAGTTAATAAATAACTTGTTTAGCAACAGCAACCTCTGTGATTAAAATGATGATTCACTACTACTACTGCCTACGTTTAAAAAAAATCAGGGAATCGGCATGTAATTTTACGAGTTTCGATACTAGTAAAAATCTAAAATCATCATCACCAACACCAGCTCACTATATGTCCCCACTGAGGGGCTTGGAGCTTACCCAAAGTAAAGGGTGACTAGGCCTTGGTTGGTTGAGTTCACACATGTCTTTGAATTTCTTCGCCGACATGTGCAGGATTCATCATGATGTTTTCCTTCACCGTAAGAACGTCATTAAAATTATTACATACTAGCTTTCGCCCGCGACTCCGTCCCCGTGGATTAAAAAAAACAAAAGTAATTAATTAAACATCCATCCATCTATCTAAAGTTTCTCATTTATAATATTAGTATAGTATGATGAAATTGGAAAATCACATTGGTACATGGCGGGATACTCACCCAGGAATGTAGAATACAAGTCAAGTGCTCAAACCCTTGAGCCACCGACACTCAAGATCTATAATACTATGGAAGAAATCATCCCATGATAGAGAATACAAAGCAGAAAGGACTTTCAGACTATGTTAATAGAATCGTGGGCTAAGTTATTACGAATCTACAATCTACAGATATAAATCTAGAAATACTAAACTTCATTCAGCTATTATACGCATCGGTTACCCTATAACATTTCCGGCCATATAATGAACATAAATAGCAGTTTGAGTACCGTTATCAAGCAGCATGATTATTGATTTCAGATAACGAGATGAAATAAACCCACTTCACCTTCACAAATCCCCATTGCACATTTCAAGAACAATTAGTATTACTCTTTCGTATTGTTTATCGATTTTATAGAAATAGCTTTTGCCCGCGACCCCATCCGCGTGGGACTAAAATAAAAAAAGAAACAAAAGTAATTTGCCTATGTGTTCTTCCAGACTATCCTCTCTATCTGTGCCAATTTTTTTCAAGATTCGTTCATTCGTTAAGGCTACAAACTCTAACAAACATCCATCCATCGCATGAATCTATAATATCGTATGATGTATGATAGGTTTTAAAACAATTACGTTAATTATTATTCAAATAGATTAAAAAAAAAAACAATGTGATTCGAATTAAGACTAGAGATTTAATGATTTTTTTTCCGATATACTGCAAATCTATCAGATTTATCTATTCTACAATACCTCGATAAATTCACTTAATAACTCTATTACTTATCAAATATATTTTTAGTATTAAAACACTAAATAAACGGGCGCTTAATCGCAATTTCTCGGTCAATTAGATACGGTATAAAACATTTTACAACACTTTCAAACTTACAAATGCCTTTATTGGCTTATTTTGCATAAAATTTCATAGTTTGCTAAATAATATAAAAATCAGTAATTAACTTCTTGAATCTTAAAAACATAGTATTGAGAGACGACAATATGTTGTACATAATATTGGCAGTGAAACCACTAACCTGTACAAATAGACAGGCTAGTGATTGCGGTGTTTCGTGCTTATTTTCGCCACTTTTGCGACGGTTTGGGTTGATAGCGGCATTGAGAATTTCAACTTATAAGAGATAGAATAAACTGTCAGGACCATCAACACGCGCATTTAAATTGGAACAAAGTAACCGATGTCATTTCCAAGCCTATCTATCCATAGAGATCATTGGTGAAAACACATAATAATTAAAAAAACACATAGAAATAAATGTAACAGATAAGGAGTAGAGAGGCCAATTTAAAAACCACAACAAACTAAATTGACGCAATAAATCAAAGAAAAAATCGAATGACACTTCAGATTATTTGCAATAAGTAGACTCTGATCTAAAATGTATCAGGTCTTTATCAATTACTTACTTATTACTTACGAATCCGTCACTAGCCGCAGGATAACTTAAAGTGCGTAAACCAGTGAACGCGATTGTCCTTGATAAATAGGTTCAATGAACTAAGCACTATTATTTTTACTATTTTTCCCTTTTCTAAACGTAACTTGGCGATAAGTTACATTTCGCACGTACGAAATGTAATTATTTAGTTTTTACGTTTGACTTTTTTTTTGCAATCGCGAAATCTTTATTTCATTTACCTCTTGGAGATCTTTTTAGAAATAACTATTTATCTTGGCACTGCGATGGTAATTTTCAAATACCACAATTTTTCTCCTAATCTATTTATTTTCATTTCTATCGTAATTTTCCTACAAATAGGTTCATTAACAAATGAAGTGACATTTAATAGGGGTTAAGGTTTTACTACTGATAACCCGAGTTTGTTTTGCAATAGCGTTCATAAGAAAATAATAATGAGTTATTAACCCAATGTATTAAAAACATCAACTTATTAAAAAATATTTATTCAGTTTGCTAAAGGCATATTAAATGCGAATAAGATATTAGAGACAAATAACACTAGATTGCATTTTGAGCTTCTATACGGCTTCTCTGCAACATTCCGACAAGATTAAACGAGACGTGGAGGAACAATGGATACTTTTTACTTTCATACCGCAGTTTGAGCTGTTAGTAGTACCTATTGAAAAGATTTGAACAGTACGTGGATGGAAGAACAAAATAAAATTGTTCCAAATACACAAGTTTATTTTAAAAGTTTATTTAGACGATCTAACATAATCTGTTCTTAGTATCCAATCATTAATAATATAGGTATATACGTAGTTGAAGTCTAGTTTTATGTATGTTTTGATTATTAATTTTGCTTTAAAATGTTCTTATATAATATGCAAATTAGTCATATTTAAGGCATGGTTCCCAGAAGTTAAGCTCCATCAATTCAATCAAACATGAGCAAATTCCAACCGTTTTCAGGGAAATACGACTTATAATAATATTTTCATCGAACTCGAAATTGGAACAACAAGCGATTTCCCGCTTAAATATCACAAGTACAATACGGCAATAAAATTTGTTATGAAACATCAGAAAATACATGAAAATCTTCAAAAATCATAAGAGATGAAAGATGAAGAAATGAGAAGAATTCGTAGAGTTCGAAAAAGAATGTTTATAAGAACAGCAAGTTCATAATAACATTGTTCTGGTACCAGATTTAAAAGATACGACCAGTTTTATAAAACTACGATGCAGCGCCATATGTGGGGTCAAGGAAAGAGTTGTATCACCTGACAGTCGTGCTGATCGTGGTAGGAGCTGACTAGCTGGCTGACGTACTCCCAGACCTCGCCGGGCGCGGTCCAGGTGGCAGAGTTGGCCGCGTGACGCATCATGCCATCACTGTCTCGTGGAGTCCGCGGATACCGGCACACCGCACTGACCACTGCACTAGAAACGCACCCGCGCAGCTCAACCCGCGCTGGTCACCTCGATCATCTATTTATATTGTTTTATCCTTCACCAACTAGGTCGCGGTCCACATACAACGTGCCTAACTAAAACCAAATATGTTTGTAAACAATTGTTAAATATCCGATGTGTTACACTACACTAGTATTATATTACAATTTTTAAGTGAATTAATTCATCGATATGAACTCACTACAATTTTAATGAATTGCCGTAATTTAAGTACTTAGTCGAAACTCATAGATTTTTTTAATCACTTGTAGATATATGTAGATAGAAACACACTATGATCGATGTGCGAAATCAAATCCCAAATCATCAAATCAAACAAGATAACGAATGCATAGAACACTCCAAAATATGCACTGACACAGAATAATCACCATCGTAACGAGCGTCGATAACGCGCGACCTTGAATCGCTTAACAACTGATAAGAGCAAATTCGGCAACCGCACACACATTCGCCGCATTCCCGCCACACTGTATATATGTTTCGCACCAGCTAACTGCTAGAGTACACTCTTGGTACGATGCGATCACTTTTAACTCGGTCACTAACTGGCATATTAATTTAAAATCATTAACAATCAATTGAAACAAACTGTCGCAAATTGACGATCGCGTCAATAAATCGAGCGCGAAAGTACCGGGCCCGGAGGTACGTATACGCGCGCGCGCCTCGCCGTGGGCACGCTAATGGCCGTCGCGTCTTGTTCGCGTCGTACTCGCGGCCCCCACCACTACGTACGCCGTGCACGCTATCAAACCAGTTTTACGTGAAAAATTTCAATTGCTCGGGTGACGACCGGCCGCGCTTTCCTTACACCCTTCCCCGCTCGGAAAAAGCGCAGCGCCCCCAGGGCGGCGGAAATGCACCGCAGCACGCGACCCGAACGCACCCACTGACTTAATTAAATGCACGACCACCTCCGCACACCTACACAGTCACATTCGTATCGAAAAAAGAGTATTAACATACGGAGTTATTACTTAAAACATTTATAATGAAGAATAAAAAGTTATACTAGACTACAACCCAACAAGTGACGACATAAAAGGAGTTACAGTCTACATTAATTTGACCTTAACTGTTAACCAATTTACTCATGTCTTCAAATTAAACTCATCACGATGGACGGAAACCTTGCAGTATGCATTATACATGTAGTTTGAATGTCTATACATTGGGGATGGAATAAAATAATCTCACTCTCAATTCACGTTCTTCTAGCTGTCTACAACTTCAAAAGGGGGGTTATCAAACATTCTCTCTGCGCCAAAAAATCCTATGATGGACCCTTAATGGTAGTTGGTAGGTAGACCAGCCTAGATCATCGGCTGACGCCAATGGCTTCATTCTAATGTTACGAAATGAGTTACTGGAGACAGTGATAATATTTGCAATATAAACAGATACGGCTGCCAAACAAGGTCGCATCGATTTATTTCTCTAACGACGATTTCAATAAAAAGTACTGAGAAATGTTCAGTCTTGAAAGGCTTCAAAGAGATTTTCCCAGAACGTTTTCTATGGAAATGTTTTCGATTTATATATGATTTTAACGAGTTCGTGGAATTTATTCTTGATCAATGTATTTATTATCATAAGAATTTGTATAGATGTTTATTTGCTATTTGCAAAATAATTTCAAATAAGAAAAACCTTTACTTAAATTACCAGATTTTTTTTTAGAATATCATTGGACAGTATCAAAAGCCACCAAAAGTTGATGCCCTACAAAACCGTATGGTATTAAATAAATTGAAACTGTTATTTCAGCCAAGTTCAATTGATCTCAATCTTTTACACGAACTGTTAGAATGTTAATGTGTGGGATGAGTAAAAATAGCAAGCAAATCTAGGACGCGGGACTAGCTACTATTCCATTAACACTACTAGCCAAAACTCTGTTATGATTATTCTAACTAATACATTAATTGGAACATCGTGAAAAAATATGTTATGGTCGGTTTCCCAGCTACATTTAACTATTTGTTAGGGTTTTTTCTTCGATAACTTCATGAAATGCGTTTCCAAACTACGTAACTTAAGATTTACTCCGTTGAAACATTGATTAAGCTAACACTAATGAATCACTAGGTAATTATAAAATAAATGGGCACTTCAGAAATCCAGCATTAGTGTTTTTTTATAAACTTAGCGTAGTTAGGTAAAGTCGCTCCTCCTACCCGTCCTCAAACCTCGATCGCATATCTAATTGTGATCTAGAATAAAATTTGCAATCAAAATATTGGTCCTAAATTGTCAAAAAGTACTATTAAGAAGCTAAGAAGTAAAATAATAATAAAAAGTATTCATTGTATGTGTAACCAATGTGTCTACATTTATAGTAAGCGTTGTTTAATGACCGTGGTCGTAACAACTGAAACTGTAAACAAAACAACAATTACAAACTACGCGCATCTGCATTAGTACTTCCAGCGTGTCTGCACACGTGATTGCGAGCAACAATTTGTCCTTATAAAACATAATGGATGATTTATTATTGTTTTAACATCATATGTTCGTAACATGCTATAAATAGTATGTTTCATTGTGAATTTATTTAAATTTAATAGGCAATTAAACAATGGTTACGATTAACATTCCACATTACAGTCCTTTACGATTAGACAATGACGGCAAAAAAAGTTACGCGCTTATTGTTGGTAGATTTCAATTTAAAGTACGTCTTTCATGGTATCGGCGCAACGAAAGCACTCATCTTATTAGTCGACCATCATAACAGCTGATTACGAGTAAAACTTAACACATCACAAAATTTAAATTTTGAAAACATGAACAAAAACCAGATGTAGCTAAATACAAATAGGGGCAATAATCCACACCCTTTATTATAACTATACCCACACGAAAACTGTTAAAAGAAATTAAGTACATAATAAATAAAACTCAGTATTATTTAAATAATAATAAACACAATAACAAGTCCCTGTCTCGAGAAGGGTATCAACTTAAGGGTAGATGTAAACAAACGAACCTTTGTAAGCAAGTAACGTGTTACAAAGTAGCTTACAATACAGTTATTTGTGGTATAGTCTGACCAGAAATATAAAAACTCTCGCCATGTTGCGGAAAAGTATGGAACTAATTTCTTAGTGTACATTAAAAATTGACGTAATAAAGTCGATTGAAACGCCTTTCCCTCAGGTCAGGATTTCCATATTTTTATTAAATCCTTAAAATGGGTTTTCACTGCCGTGACACATGTAGAAAAACATCTTATCTGACTTTTACAGAGACAATGAAAAATATGGTAATACGACAATGAAAGCCTAGTGTGATTCTCGCTTGATTATAAAAGTAAAAAGAAATGCGCCCGCTAATCGACATACACTTAATTAAAAAAAAAACCTATACATAAATATAAACATGATTGCCTGAATCATCAACTACGTCGCATAGCTTGTATGGTACTTAGCAATTCGTTCCGTTTTCAATACCTTATTTCCGCTACACGAATAAAATAACGCGTAGTAAGCCGACCCCTTTTATACAGTGTTATAAATATAGATTTAGCATTATAAGACTTTAGGGGAAATTTTAAAACGTAATTTGTGTAACTCAGTTTACCTACAAATGTGACAACACTTATATTTTTTACCTCTAAATATTTGTAGCATAGCATAGAGGGACACGGTAGGAGGCACACTGCACAGCTGACTTTGTACCTCTAAGACTGACACTGATAAGACCCCATATTTAATTTTATCTTTACTTTAATATTGATTACATGACGTAATACATTTTTATGATAGGAGAAAATGAGAAGCATTTCCGACCTTTAAGTTAGGAGTGCACTCTTCACTTAAGTTGGTGTATAGTTTTTGGTTTGTGTTTTGCAATGTTAACCATTAACTTGATAGTGTAGTGACAAACAACTTATTAAAAAAATCTACTGAACGCATTTAGGAAATGTGAGATTTTAATTTTAGTGTGTTGGTAACATAATATTTTTTGCCACAAAAAACTCTGTTAAATAGGGGTTAAGGTTCAATCTCAGCTTGTAATATTCTTTTAAGACATAAAAGTATTTCTATACTTAAGTTTATATAAAAACTTACCTTAGTCCGCTGCCTCTGCCCTCGTTTTGCTGTAGTTTCTTGGTTGGTATCTTCACTTTTAGTCTTTTTCACATTACTATTAGTCTTAAACACACTTGGTTTGTCCTTGCCATCCTTTTTGGATGCAACATCTTTATCATCACTTGAATTTCTATGTCCATCACTGTCACTCTTAACACCAGAGTTCCTACCACTTTTTACACTCTTTTGAGGGGAGCACTTCGCTGGTAATGTTTTTTTCACCGCTTTAAGCGGCAAATCATCCTCACTCGATGAATCACTTGAGCATTTGCTACATACTTCTGAACTCGAACTTGTATCTGATAATTGAGAATTTTTCTTTTTCACACTGACTTTTTCCTTTGTTTTGGTGGTTTTTGACTCTTCCTCAGCCTTCTTCTTTCCCAAAGGTCGTACAGTCTTATTGGGTGTGACTTTACGAGGTGGAATAGCAGCAATTTTCAGTTTTAATCCAGTGTCACATGATGTGACTGAGAAATGTGGTTTACGGGTAGAGCCTTGCTTTGAACCGGTACATTCCCAATCACTTCCAGATGAATCGCTGGAGCTGCTGTTCTGTAAAGCAAAAACAATACCTTAATAATCTATATGCAGCTGTTCATTAACTATATCCTATACACTACATATAGTATTTTATTTAAATTAAGATTAAAGTGGTTATTAATAACAAATCCACCTTTGAGCATGTATACAATATCATTAAAGATATCACATACTAGCTCTTGCCAGTCACTTTGTTTACACAGTATTAAAAAACATATGAAAACAAAAACATGTGTTCCTCGGGAACAACATTTTTCAGGGATGTACCATATCCCAAGACTCAGCTTTGTTTTATATCTTTCCCATATTAAAATGATACATTGTCATAGTTCCATTAGCTATATGGATGAGTATGGATATAACACTAAAGATAGGAGACAACTTTGCCACTCAACAAAACTGGAGTAAACCTCTATTCTCCAATAAAGAACAACATAAAAATATACAATTCTTCATTCAACCTAGAAGCTCCACAGATTTGATTTTTTTAGCTAATAGTTTGGTTAGGCTCTCACTCATTATGAAGTTACGTATTTTCTGTCTTAAATACCTTTTCCGCTGATGTAAAATATATCTTTTGGTAATAATGTTGCTTTCTAATGGTGATTTTATTAAATTGGTTTAATACTTTTACAGCCAATTCAATGTAAACAATCAAATCTATTTTGTTTATATAGTATAGGTTATTACAAAGTATTTTGTTTTCCAATAAGTCTGCAAGTGTTATGTTCTTTCAAGATATTACACTAAGATTTGACTTTGACAATATAAAATAGTTTTAAACCTTTGCTTCATATTCATCAAGGTTACAGTAGAATAATCAGATATATTGTCATAACATTTTAATGTTACAAAAAATACTAACCTCTGAATCACTGTTTGAATCAGTACCACCACTTGAGTCATGAGTTTTTGGCACTTCTGTGCCCATTTCTGGAACAATAACATAAGTTTGAATGTAAATTCGTATTTTACTTGCACAGCTAAACTTGATATTAAAATTAACATGATTTTGTATCAATCATTTATCAATTATAAACAACGAAATGACTAAAATAGGCGCAAAGAAAGGTAATTACAAATAAATATGCAAAATACTCACTTTGATGATTGGTCAAGATGTTTCCAACAGTAAAGTTGTAAGCTTCGTCATTTCAAACATTCCCTGATAGATTTTCAAGATAAACAACTGTCCTGAAAAGGATTATGCGTTTAGTTAATACTGTTACGCAAATACGCAGTGTTTTTTTGATGTTTTAGTGTAGCGTTTTCTCCTCAGACCAATTTGTCGGATGACAGATCTGACGACACTCGAAAGACCAGTTTTATTTCACGATGTCGCTTGCAACCGAGTTCAGATTTAAAGTATAAAGTCTTAACATTAAATAAAATTAAGACTAACTCTTTGGCTTATAAGGAAAAACAATAAGTTTAACGGTTTTTAGAACGTTGGCGCCAAATAGATGCATACGTTTACATTACCGACGAAGCAAATAACTAAATATACACACAGTTTATATTCCTTACTTTGCTAACGATAAGCATAAAAAAAATGAGTACTAACCGCTTCTAGATATTCCTTTTTCACAAAATATGAACAAATTACATTGGAAACACTTCATAGCCTTTACATTGCACGGCCTCCATGTTTACAAATCTTTCGCATAAAATCTACGATCCTACGTAAAATAAGTACAAGCAGGAGAAAGCCAGTGAATTTGCAGCTTATTCATTTACGCTTACGAGAAATTCAAGTGTAAGAAGGAGACTCATATCATAATAATAGCTCAAAATTGCGGCGCAAAATGGCGTCATTGGGGTACCATAAATTGTTTGCAACGTTTGAAGTATGAGCTCTGAATTCTATCAACAAAATCCATTATATTAACCAAATACAATCCTGATTTCTAGTACAATTGTATATCCTGTCTGATAAAATGGTATTGACAATACAATTACAATGTACAAACAAAAACAAAGCAAGCAATAAAGATTTACATTCGATATATGACGCCATCTGTTTGTGATAAGATAAAACTTAGCACAATAACATTATCTGTATCCTCATATTTTTTAAACTGTGATTATAATGTACAGATATATATAAAAAGTTTTGTTTAAAATAATAAAATACAGATTCCACTTGGTTCCCATACCGGTAAATTAACAACAGTTCACACCTGTAGATACCATTAATTCCACTATTTCCTCTGACTCTGTATTAAACACGAAATGATAACATTTTCCGTAGTTCAGTAATTTTTATATGATTAACATTAAAATAATTCTAAATCTTAGACAGGTCCTCTTTCTGTGCAATTATTGTTTTTTCTGCTTGCGTATTATGCATGCCTTTGATTTTTCTTCATGTATAACCACAGGATACATTTTCATTTCAAGTCATATGTTTTTGTATATATTCTATATTCGCATTTGGCAGTTTAGCATCTGCAGTTTCTTTATTTTGGTTTTGTTATATTTAGTCTTAATTTATTACAAAATTTACCCATAATTTGTAATATACCCGTGTTTAGGTGCGAGGAATAATAAAATTATGCTTAATTAATTAAGTATGGAGGAATTTCAGGCATGGGAAGACTTATCGAACATACCAGCGGATCCTCCGGCTATGCGCAATCTATGTGTTAATTGCGGGTAAAAGTAGTAAAAGTAGTAATTTTGTATTCTCAAATATGGTAAACTACTTGTTTCTTATATGTATGTGTATATCAAATTTCAGAAGGCCGATGGCGGTTTGTTGGTGTTCAGCTCTACCTCCCCAAAGGTTAAACCCACGAAGCAATGTCATACTTCTCCAACATCCCGCTGAAGAAAAGAGATGTTTGCGCACAGCCCCTATGTTACAATTAGGGTTGGCAGAAAACAAGTGCCTTATTTATAAAGGAAAAAAATTTCCACAACCAAAACATGAAAATTTAGAAAATATTCTCAATCAACCAAATTCTTTACTACTTTATCCGAGTGCTAGTGCAGTCGATATTCAACATTTTAAATGTGCTAATGACTACTACAATATAATTCTGATTGACAGCACATGGCCTCAAGCAAAGGCAATATATGCATCTAGTCCACTGTTACACAAATTGAAACAAGTCAAACTTGTAACAAATAACACTAGTAGTTATATTATTAGAACACAACCTACAGAAGGTTGTCTAAGCACTTTGGAGACAGCAGCCGAAGCTTTGTCACAATTAGAAAACAATTCTGTATATAGTGAACAACTAATTCAACCTTTACACAAACTCTGTCAGTACCAATTAGATAATGGTGCTGTGACCCATCAATCTAAAGAGTTTTTAATCAAAAATAAAACCTATCCTAAATTAATCGGTAAGAGATTGTCTAAATTACTTAAGTCTACTAATAAATGTACTCTTGAGTAAGTATTACTTTTTTTAAGCTGTAACAAGATCTGTTTTGTACATATGAAAATAAATTTTATGAAATATATATTTTATAACTTCATACAACTTTTAATTTTTACCCCTTGGGGTATCCACTAATCCATGGGGCCTTGGCCCATAGGTGGATTTTGATGTGCAAGGCGAGTTAGCGATATTAAGGGTTTTGTCGCGGTTTAGATTAATACAGGTCTGGTTTAAGAAGTAAAAATTGGGTACTGGGATCGAAATAAAATAGGTGAAGTTATATGTTAAATCAGTTTAAACCATAACAATTTTTGAAAACATCATGCTTAAGATGGTGTCGACATCAATTTTTAACTAATGTTCGAAACGTATATTATTTTGAGCAAGGAAAGTAAATATTTTTTTGTTTTTATTATCATTTTATTACTTTTGGCATTTTTTGTCTGTTTTTGCTTATTGGTTTGATTTGTCTATGGTTTTAGCTGTCAGTCAAATACTGTCAGATGTCTAATCTTTCTGACAGTTCTTTCTTTTTGTTCTGTCAAACGAACTGAAACATGGCTGAGGTTTGTGATTAAATTTAAGTGTTAATATCCTTAAATACCAGTTCAATCATTATAAAAGAAACTGAATTGAATACAGTGATCAAATATTTACAAAACAACTGTGTTATTTTACTCTTTATTTTCGGACTACTTGCGTAAATAGCTAGTGACATTATGATTACAATTTTCAGGTCGATGAAACTCTCAAGAAGAAACGTACCTTCAGGAAGTTTACCTTCCGAGGGGTGGATCTTGATCAACTTCTTGATATGCCCAAGTAAGTTTCAGAATGTACCTTGTTTACTAATCCAACACTACTGAATTTGTACTATTAGACTTTGTTTTGGTTATGTCCTGGCTTGGCTTGTGTAAGAACTTAGCATTTAATGTTTCTTTCGTTGATTTCGTTACTCACGTACCTTTTAATGTTAATTTCAGTGAGCAACTCATGGAGTTGATGCACGCTCGCGCTCGCCGGCGGTTTGCCCGTGGTCTTAAACGCAAGCCCATGGCGTTAGTTAAAAAGCTACGTCGCGCAAAGAAGGAAGCTCCTCCGAATGAGAAGCCTGAAATCGTAAAGACACATCTGCGGAACATGATCATCGTCCCTGAGATGGTTGGCTCAATTGTGGGCATTTACAATGGAAAGACTTTTAACCAGGTTAGAAAAACTGTATTATGAAAGTAAAGTGGAAATTAATGAATTAATGAATATAACATAAATTATTATGAGAGGAGGGAGGGATGGTTGTTATTCAATGAACTAGTTGAATAATCCATTGGTCACCCTTCAAGTTTCAACTGTTGACTATTTTTCATTTAGAAATCACTTGTCTATCTTTATTGAATGTATGACTAAATTAGTCTTGGGTAATACACGTACGATGTACTAAAAAGTAATGTTACTCGGCACTGTACTAAAAGTAACGTTACCGAACGGCTTCTGTTAATTGGACATTTAGTACTTTTAGTACACTACACAATATCGGTGTTCGCCTTTTTGTCAGATTGAAGCATCCACCTTCGATAATGAGAATCAAAAGTGGATAAAATTATTCATAACTAAATTTATTTTCGCTAATAACATATGTTTGACCCTGCTTAAAATTTGATGTGAAGTAATATATAACCCTCGTTATATTCTATTCATGTATAGTGTTTTCACAAATCTGAAGTACTAAAGGTACTAAAAGTGTGTACTAGTACGTTTTCCCAAATGTACTAGTACGGTGCGCACTTGCAGATGTCTGATTAAGCCCAAGACTAGACTAAATCAACTAGTTGAAACAGTAAATTTATGTGTTTTTTATTGACTCTAAAACCATCAACGACACATCCATATAACCTACTATGCCATAAATTTCATTATTTAGTGGAATTGCTAGAAAAATGACGTGATATTGAAATATAGAAATGAAAATAAGTTTATAAATATTTTGTAATGCTTAAGTATTAATGAAAAACTTGTAGTTTGTTAGTGATTGTCACCAATTACTGTGTTGCAGTATATTTTATAAATCAGTCATATTTACATAACGGCTTCACTGTTCCTTGCAAGCAACAGTGGCATTTAGCACTCATCTTTGCAGATATGTACTAAGCTAATCACAAACTACCAAATTGGCATCTAGCAATAAAAGTATCTTCTCTTCCAGGTTGAAATCAAGCCAGAAATGATTGGACACTACCTTGGCGAGTTCTCAGTTACATACAAGCCAGTAAAGCACGGTAGGCCTGGTATTGGTGCCACGCACAGTTCTAGGTTCATTCCGCTCAAGTAGAACTACTTGACTGGCATTTTCTAGGTTAAGTGGAAAAATTTTGCACAAGGATACAATAAAGTTCTTGTGTGAATAAAAATTACTTTGTTTTATTTTATGTAATCCCTACTTATTATATATGATTATTGTTTACATTGAGTTAAAGTTGAATATTTAAATACTTGGTTAATTATAATCATACTAATATTTTGAATCTAGAGATCAAGAGATAAATGTTTGTTAGAGTTTGTAGTCTAAACGGCTGAATGGCTTTCTATGAAATTTGGTGTAGATGTAGAGGATGTCTGGAAAAACATAGGCTATTCTCTTTTAGATTTTTTTTTCTACCCGAGTAGCTAGCTAGTAAAAAATTAAAGAAAAAGTAGAACCTGAAAACAAAATAGAATGCCATTAGTTATTTAAAAAGAATAAAAAAGACGTTGCTGCCTTTGGTACAAAATCTTGAGAATAGTGAAAGAATACTTTTTAACAGCGCCATCTATGTCACCACAAATGTACGTAATATTACGTTGCAATAAATACAGATGTCGCTTTTATTAGTTTTTGTGTTTACTTTTTCAACTGATATTTGGCGGTAATCGAAAATTAACAATGGAAGGTGCGCAACCAATTTTTAATAAACTTTGTATAAATCCAAAAAATGTTCGATACTGACGGCAGTTGGTGGATATTTTGGACGTCAACATGGTTATATTTTCACGTAAATATGTGTCACTGCGTGCGATATAAATGCTTTATTATTTATTAGTCGAGCTTCCACGAAATAATATTTCAATAGCCACGATTTATCGAAAATTCGTGCCAGGTGCTAGTCACGGTATAAAGAACATGGTGTGTTTTCTATGGTAAAACCCTGAGATTTTACGTCCTTTCAAGTTCTAATTTGATTCGGAAGATGGTGGAGGTATCTATTATGATTGTGCGACGAAAAAATTCGTTTTATTTGTATCGATTCGTCTTAGAAAGCATTTTAATAAACTACAAAAATATGTTTCGTTCGATTGCAAATCACTCAATCACCAATTACGGTAAGCATCATATCAATAAAAGAGTTCCAAGAATGCAATATGTGCGTAACACAGAGGGATAACGCTACGTAATTAAGCTTCAAGAGAAGTGCATCACGCTCAACGATCCCCACAGCAGGATCGGTTATATGCGGTAACAACTGGTGTGATCCGACCCCAGCCGATGTCAATCGACGCGATCAAGAACTCTTCGCCACATACGCCTGTAACACACAGTCGTGAAAGCTAACTGGCAATAAAAGCCAAGCATAAGGTTTTTAACTCTCAGCAGATTTCTTATATGATAATGGGAGAAACGAACAGCGGAAACCTTTAGTTTCGCCATAACTTAAGTAGATGGATATTCCCTACATTAGAGGTACTATACATTTTTTGCCAGTTTTAGCTTATTCTTTATTAGATTTAGTTTTGTTTTGTCATTCCATTTTTATATAAAAAGTAGTTTTTCGCTTCGGTACTGGTCTGCTTTGGTGGCTGTGTGGTCAAAGCGTTAATTTGTACAACGACCTTTTTGGACGGCCCCTACGTTCTAAACAGAGCCTTAAATGGATTTGCGAATTGTTTCGAAGTATAAATTAACAATTATTGAGATCACCTCGAGACATATTGAGCGTCATTTTAGTTTGTTCATCTCAGATATTGAAACAGCAAACAAATCAAAGTACGGTCTTAAATATGTAGTAAAGCTTGCTACATACGTTCAATTCTAAATGATAATTTTAACAGAATGGTTGAACTGATCAGTTGAAACTGCGTGTGTAGACAAAACTTTAACTAAACAGTCCTACTGATACGTTAAAATTTTACCTGCACCCGCACAGTTAAATGAACAGTTCATCTCTATGTTGAAACTGTCAAAATTAAGCGTCTATAGTTGGTATTAATCTAACGTTTGTAATTGCATGACAATAACCTGTTTTTCGTTCTTACAGATTTGGTCTGGCTATGTCCAAAAATGTTTGGTAAGTTTCTAACCTTTATTCATGTTTTTATTATTTTTATAACATAACGGATTGCGTTGTCTCACTATTACAAATATTAAGGGCAGGTACGATACATGAAAAGGATTAGGATATCCTAAAGTGTCTTTGAGCCTTTGAACTTGACATTTGGGAGCTCAACCGACAGACTAGTCTGCTAGTACCAAATATTTCATTGGTTATCCTAACAAATATGTATGTTGTAATTCTTAAATTACATTAATTGTGGCTACTTAGCGAGATGCTAATATTTCTGGTTGATTGCGGTTCCTTGGAGCCACTGACTTCATCGCGGGGACGCCGCCACCAAACGGCCATGTCGCAAATTGATTCTCATGTGTATTAATTAACTTTTGTACATGTAATACAATATGTTAGGACGATATTCGTAGTTATATTAGCACAATATTTCTACTCATATATTTTTATTGTTCTGTTTATTACTCTTATTATATGCAAAGAGATATTTTAGTACTAAAATAGTGTTAAATAACATATACTCAGGTGTGAATCCATCTCTCAAAATGGATTTGTGCTCGCTCGGTGGCAACGAACCACTTTGAATCTGAGATTGCGATGAAATTCAATCTGAATAAGGTAAAAAATATACAAGCTTAGAATAGTTTCGGCGATAAACATCAGTCATATAAGATTTTTTTTATTATATTAGATAAGAATGTTTAGGTTCATGGCATTGAGTTTAAACATTGTACAAGATGTGCGAGGCAATGGAGTAGGTTAATCACCAACCATGTGCTCGACCGGACACCTTCATTACGCGCTTCAAACTTTAACTATTTCTCAGTATTCCATATTACTGTACTTGAACTCTCGTGGTCATGTATTCTTTAAGAGGAATTACATAGAGATGTGTAACTATATATTTGACTTGTTTACTTGATTTTTATTATTATTTTATTGTTTAGTTACGCAATTGTGTGCGAATTCATTTTTAAAACGTATAGGTATACTTAAGTTATTAAATATATTTCCTTAAATAACATAGCGAGGGAAATAAGAAAAAGGCATACGAAGCTGGCAACACCTATCGCAGTTCTCTATAAATGCAAACAACTTTCATTAATTGCACTTCAAAATTACAATTTATTTGAATAACTCGTGTCTATATTTACCTAATACTAATAATTATCAACTAGTAAAGGTTTTAAATGACTGACGTTAATAACCCTGGTTTCTTGCTAGTGGGCGTTTAATTATCCCAGACGATATCTGAGTATCAGCTAATCTTAATGTACGAGGTAAACGGTCTCCATTAGGGAGGATTTACTCTGTCGAGAGATATATCATACCACTCTTAATATGGATGATGGTGGTTGGGGTGGGGAGCATGTAGGTTATAAAAGTAAAGGAAGATCGTAGAAAGTACGCATGGGTTAAGTGAAAGAGGGTATGCGTAGAAGAGTGGTAGAGCCCGCTAACATCTTCGCACTGCAGAGCCGGCTCGCCCGTTGCAATACTATGACCACACAATAGACAAGCGTGAAGTGGAAGTCTCATCTGATGATGGTGCCGGAGGCCTAATTTTAGTTCATTTGCTTTTCCACCCTTTTCTTAAGAGGAAAGGATAGGAAGGATACGTGGATAAGACGGCGGAGCAAACGAATAGGAAGGGGAAATATCCTTTTTAGACTCACATAGTCTCCTCCTCCGTCCATTAAGAGTAGGTAACGCATCTGCATTTGCGGATGTCTGTGGACAGCGGTCGCTTCAGCATTTTGGTGGTTTCTTGCTCGTTTGCCACCTTGTAATTTAAAAATACCGTGAATTTAGATTATGACAGCTAAATAATGTATGGAATAGTGGTACATAGTGTTCCAACCCCCTGTAGGGAAAAGTGAAGGCTGATTTAAAGCACTTAGTACCCAAAATAAGCGGATAATCTAACAAGAATTTGTTGGTTACTGAATATTACGACCTAATAAAATAAGCCTGTAGCCTCTATTATGGTCATTCTTAACAAGTGATAATTGATGTAAACATTTGTTCAAATTGTTGTTTTCAATTACAAAACATATTATCTGCTGTTTATTGGAAACTAGCTGTTTCACGCGACTTTGCCCGCGTGAAATTAAAAAGTAAATATATGGCACAGACAAATTACTTTTCTAATGGTAAAAGAATTTCTAAAATCGGCCTAGTAGTTTTGCGCGAATAAAATACATACAAAAATACAAATTTTTCCTCTTTATAATATTAGTATACATAAATCAATAACATTAAGTAAAAATAATCTGTTTTAAAGCTACAAGAGACAAAAGTTAAATATTCGATGTACTTATTTTATTGAATCGATTGTTTTAATTTTTCTATTAAGGCAAAATAGCGCACACAAAAATTATTTTGTCAATAGAAAGCTACTATATCACATAGTAGCATAGAGTACATTTATAGTTACGGGATAAGCTAATAAATTACATGTTCCTAGTCAAACCTTACTACTTCGTGAATAGAGACTACACAACGCTTTTGAAAATTCTTAAGTTTTCAACAATTTTCAATAACTTTTTCACACAATTATTACGGTTTGGATCAAGATATAAAGGGTCGACTTTCTTAATAATTCACTTTTCTATTAGAATATTGTGCGAGTGCAAATTTATATTATCCTCAGTTGATCTAGTTTTATTTCCATGCTTTCTTTGCAGAACTAACTGGTTAGAATATCAATTACTCTTGTATGAATGTCGTGATTCACGATGTGTAAGAGGAAGTTAGACAAATACACATCATTAATGTGTTAAAATAAGCGTATAAATGACAAAACAATCAATTGACCGGTATTAGTCGCTTTGTACTCGCTCCTGGTGAACTATGTGAGTTTCCACTGACGAAACATTTACTAAAACATCGCTTTTAGTAACGAGAATTGTCTATATGTGTTTTTGATAATGCTGTTATATTTCAAAAATGTTATGAATGAAAGCTTATTTATATAAAAAGCTCTATCATATCTTAACGTAAAACTTATCTGGTTTGTAAAAATAAAATAGAAATTAGACTTTTTCTACTAATTAAAAGTTATTCGTCTGTTTTTAAGGGAAAATTGATTAAATTTACGATTCAATACTCATCAGAAGTTTAATAAATAGCTCGCTTTACTAAAACTTTATAAAACAAGGATAAACAAAAATTTTAAAATGTAAAGGGTGTATAATTTGCATATGTTTCCGTAATCCGTTGTGTTATGTTGAGCTTATCTTAATATGATTCAATTTAACAACCGATTCACTTCAACGCGGTAAATATTATTCGGTATCGCACTAAAAATAAACACCGAAACTTGCCCATTGCTTTATCAAGTATTTCAGCGCAAACTCATAACGGCCGTCTTGAAACTGGCAGAAATCTCGTCCTAACTAGAATTAATAATTGGTATAATTAAAAATTATTGTTTACTAAGGGCGCGAAGTATTTATACGTCGCGGTGGCGTAGGCTTCGAGGCTTTTTGCCATCGACTGTTCAGCTAAACGCACGCGCTTCGTCGTGTCGCGTACTCGATTACGATTGAAAAAAAAAGATAAAAACGTCAAATGAATTTAGAAATTCAGCCTTTTGTTTTGTAATTCGTCTTAGTTTTAATACATTTTGATTACAGTAGTGTTTTAGTGTATTTGTTAAGTGATAATGTTTTTTTATCTCGTGTCTAAGTGATGTGACATTTTAAAACAAATATATTTTAAGGTGAGTTCTGATATTTATTTAATGCTTTGATACAAAAGAAGATTTTTTTAATTTGTTTATTTTGTTATCTGTGATTTTTATAATTATCGAATTCGAATTTACTTCACTAAAATAATAAACAAATAAGAAGTTTAAATGTGCTTTAGTCCATTTTTTTGCATGCATATTAAATTGTAGCTTATTAAAAGTACTAGAATTTAGTATGCTTTGTTTATAAACTAAAAAACAAAACCGACTTCCAAACAAAATACACGAAAAACAAAACAAAATGCACTAAAAACAAAACAAAATACACCAAAAACAAAATAT